TTTCCTTTAAGTAAATAACAAAATATAAAATTACAGAAGCACTATTCATTGTTAGTAAAGAAAATGAAATTAAAAGAAATGAAATAACAGCTACTTACATCAGAACTGTAGGCACATTTTATGTGCAGTCAGCATTACCTCAGCAGCTTTTTCTCTATAGTCTAAAGAAACAAATAAATATGAAATATGGGAGTTATGTATGTAGTAGTTGTTAAATATGTTTGATGTTTGATGCGTTTTTACAAGCTTGTGGTTCAGGATGGGGTAGTTTCTGAACTGTGCAGGTGTGTGTTTTGTAAATGGCCGTTTAGATTAATAGTTAGTCAGCCCTTTGTGGAAGAGCAGGGTTCAATCACAGTGCAGAGGAGCACTCATTAGGCTTCTAATGATTTGTGCCAGAAATGTAATGATGTCTCTCTGGCACTGTGTATGTGGTAGTTTGATCTGTAATCATAGCTCTTCACCACATGTGAAGGCATGACAAGTAGCTAGACACAGTTAACTTCAAGATGATATTTTGCCTAAATAAATGTTTAGTTGAGTTCCTTTTGGATGTTTGTGATGCGGTCTTTGCTATATTAGCAGCTGTTTAAGTTTATAAAATTATGTTGATTAGGCACTACCTTTTTGATTACTTTGTCTATAAATGATAAGAAGATATAAACAATAATGAGTCTGTAGTTGTTAAGTGTGTCTTTTTAAGAGGTCCTTAAAGTCAGCCTGATATCAAAATGGCCGTTTTTTAGCTTGTTCGTTCAAGTCTTTGGTCTTTTTTTTTTTCTTTCTTTCTCTAAATTTTTTTCCAATATAGTCATATCCAATTGCACCCACTAGTAAGACTTCCCAGTCACTGCATCTTTTTGAGCTGCTGCTAATGCAACCTCATTGGACAGCTGAATGTGCTCGGAGCAGCAATTCTGTTACGTCTGCTAACAGACACCTTCGCTGTCTAGAATCGCGCTGAGTGATAGAGAGAGGGGAGGGCCATCCTTCCCACCCAGAGAGAGTGAGACCAATTGTGCTGTCTTGGACTCCCAGCTACGGACAGCTGTCACAGAGTCACTCGTCGCTGCCTGCAGGGCGCTGTTGGCTGGATAATTTTGGTTGGTGGAATGTTCAGTCCAGCAGTGATACTGAGGTGACATCAGAGGGAAACCGTCATGGCCCTCTACGCCCTCAGAGAGGGCCTAAGATATTTTAAAAATAATATTTTAACATTGAGCAGTTCAAATTTTATCTTATCATATTTTCACAATCAACATCTAAATAAAAAATCTACAAATCTAAGCAAATAAATCCTTCAAACCTGCCTATTTAATTTGTGCTAAAATGTGAAGGGTTAAATTAAAGAAGCCGCTTTGTCTCCCTATCAGACTTTTGCCACCTCTGCTGTTGTTGAAAAGAATGTTGGTGGTCCAGCTTTAAATTTACAGAGGGCCAAGCAATGGTAATTCAGTGAGAGACCAATTTCAAATAACAGTAAAATTGAGCAATCATATCTTCCCTCTAAATGGGAGGGATTTGTTATCGCTAACTTTAAAATAAATTCCGCCCTCTGTGGGGACAAAAAGCAATCAAGAAAAGCTAGCTAGTTGGTTTATGATGGATGCCGAGGGTGGCATTAGCGCTAGTCAGGGGGACATCGTTAGGAATTTATTATCCATGCCGTTTAACTTTTAATAAAGAAAAAATTGGAGTGCTTAATTTGGTGCAAAAAAAGATTTTTGAGAGACATTTTGACTTCAGCAATTACACCACGATACCCCTGGATGACAGTATTGACCAAAGAGCAAAAGCTCTACTGCTGGGACTGCTTGCTCTTTGGCACAGAGTGTGGGTCTTGGGCCAGAGATTGATTTTGTAATTTAGGAAGTTTATTGAAGTTAGCCCATCACCATCAGAATTGATTAATTTAAATTGTTGATTAATTTAAAGGCAAAGGATCAGTTGCATGACCCCATCATCAACTACTTCATCCAAAAGGACAGGAGAACGGACTTTTTCATGTAATGCCCTGATTCAAGGGTAAGATATTTTAAATCTTATAGACCCCGTGCCAGATGATTTTATGCTGGCCAGTGCTGACATTTTTTGTGTATTGTGAAGGTTTTGTTTGGGTGAACGGCCATTATGCGGAATTACTAGTCATTTTTCTGATGCTAATATGTCTGACGCTGTGCGCTGTCGTGATGTGAAGGCTAGGATGCAATGTTGTTGGTTTTGTGTGCTGGACCCTGGCCCATCGTCTCCATATTCCTCTGAAGTGCACACGGTGCTTGTATGATAATGCAATTATTTGTAAAGAGGATTTGCATTTTGCTTAGGAAATTAGCTATTTAGTGTAGGTGCTAACCCTTTCTGTGCTATTTGCTTGTTGCAGTATTAAAGGCTGAACTATCGTTTGTTTCTTAACTTTTGCAGTACTTTAGGAGGGGACACAGTAAAGTACACTGGGTTTTTTTTCAGACATGGGGGTGGCGTTCAGAGTTTTGGTTTGGTTGTGTAGTGACAGTTCCCAAGTGATCACTATATTATCTACACAGTTGCTTATGCAACCACTTGCAAATAATGCATATTCCTCAAGACTGATGTAGCAGCATCCTTAAACATGCTCCAGTCAGTGCTACTAGAAGTCCTGCAGAGCTGAAACTGCTCCCAGTCATACGTTGACTGTTCTTGAGGAATAGCAGCAACGAGGCATGATCAGACAGTCTTTGTACAAAAACAGGTTAGCCGGTCTAGTTCAACTGCTGAATCTTGAATATTGCTGTGAAGCCATATTTTTGTCAAAATTAAATTGCGGCATTCCTTAATCTCTCGCTGTGCAGACAGTCAGTCTGAGCCAGAGCAAGGCTGATCTAAGAGGTTTAGCTTTTATGCCTAGGCTGGAATGCAAGCCAAATTTTTGCATTTCTGTTTTCCTGCTTGCATCGCCTGTGACACATCCTGCCCTAGGTGTTTTGCTCACTGTGTGGCTCCAGTCTCGCAGCCTGGTGTCCAGAGGAGGCCATTGCTCTTTTTCTCCAACAGCTGCTCGTAACAGTTGTTGCTATAAAACACTGCATTTTCACACGTTTTCTAGCAGTACTGCATCTGTGTGTGTGTTTGTCTGGGTGTTACCAAAGTACGTATAATGTGTGTTAGCCCAGTGCCTGGTTAAACACAGAAAAATAAAAAATAAAAAAATAAAAGCACCTTTGTTGTGACCCCAGGGAGAAGCTGCCACAATATTACTGTCCCACCGTCTTGGATCAAATACAGTGCTAGCCTTGCAACAGTGTAAACATAGTAACAAGAATCCTGTAATTATAGTGTTACCATGGCAAGTTTTTCATAGAGTATATAAATGAATCCTATTCAGTATTTTTGGTTGATTTTGAATTGTGCTCTTTGCTTACAGACATAAAAGTGCAAAGGAAGGATATATAAGGCTAGGCCATGTATCTTCTATCCACCTGACCTCTTGTAATGTTACCTGTGCACACCTCTAGTATTTCTTTGTTATATTTTTACTTTTGTATGAAATTGATTTTATTGTTGTTAAATGATCCTTAACCCAAGAAAATAAAAAAGACTTAATATTGATGGCCAAGTTCTGACAGTAACAAAAGCTGAGTATATCACATGTAGGTGATGTAGTTTGTGAATCTGGATTCTCTATTAGTTATATTTATTAGGAAACCAAAGCACATACACGAAAAGAAATACTAAAAGCTATAATGAAAGAAAGCACTGAATATGAAAATGTTGAAAGAGTGGCTATTGAAGCTAAAAGAACAAAAATGCCTAACAAATCACTTGTGTGGGAGCTCTTTAAGTTGTCAGACAATAAGAAAAACTCTCAGTGCAGTATTTGCAAAAAGAGGTAGGCAAATCACAGTTACAAATTTTTAGCACTGTAACAGAGAAGAGTAGTAACTTTTACTACTGTTAAAGTAAAATATTGCATTACATACAGTTTATAATGCCATGAAATAGACACATAAAAAACAATAGGACACAAAAGCTAGCATTTTGACATATTTACGTGTTTAGTGTTGCCGGTGTGAACTGAAATATTTATTGAAATTGAAGCGGAGCTGTTCCATCAGAACCTACTGGTTATATTTTAAACTGCAACAATGAACATTATTCCTTTCAAACTTATTGTTCATTTTCGGTAAATATACTTGTTTTTAAGGGTGGTTTTGAGAACTAATATGTGGAGTAATATGTAAGAGTATGCTGAAAAACCATTAAGTGTTCGAAACCTGTAAAATGTTGTTTGGGCCAGCTTTGGACATTTTGCACCTAATTTTGAACTTTTTCATTTGATTTCTTGGCTCAATAAAAAATAACCTAGAATGTATAAGCTTGCCCACTTACATTTATAGGTAATTTGCATAATACATGCATAAAACTTTTTTTACACAACTACCTTGAAACTGTTGTCAAATTATTTACAGTAGCTTTTTTTGGGTTGCGATCTAGTTAACCAAATTAGTTAATCGTAATTGTCTTGACTGAAAATATGATACCCCTATGTGCTAGCTCATGTTTCAAAAGCTTCCTAATTTTTAAGCTAATGTAGCTAATGTAGTAGTAAGGAGTGCTATAACATGCAAAAATCTGTTTTTCAGCAACTGCTTGTTTAATAAAGTTTATAACAGGGTTCCAAAGGATAACAGGGTTAATAATGGTTCCTAAAGATGGAGGCTGATAAGTGGAAAGAATTTGGCCTCTTTTCAGGTTTGAGACACAGACAACTTCTTAAATAGAAATCTTTTAGTGGACTTTGTTTTTCTGCTGTTGCTTATTGTTTGTAAAAATGCACTTTTTAAAGCTAGTTAAAGGTTTTTTGGTGGACCTAACTACTTACTTCTGTCTGTGTACAGTGTACCTTCTCAGAGCATGATATTACATTTTTGCATGCTGAATTCAATATATCTACCTTTGGTGTTGAAATTAAAATGCCACATTGTGAAGTATACCACTAATGGGAACATTTGGTTTGCCTGTAGGTCTTCCGTGACAGACTGCAGTAGCATGGCTGAGCAGCAGATTCTTAAGTGTGATGAAGAACAGGAAAATTGGAGAGCAGTGGAAAGAAAGAAGTACCACGTGCCTGTACACGTTAATTCAGAGAATACCATGGAAAGACAGTGTGCTCAACAGTAATGTAAAATGAATTTACATGTTTGTTATACATCATTAATTTTTATCTCTGAGCAATAAATGTGTATATTATTTTAGCTTGTTATAAATCATTTATTACCACAGTAAAATTGAGATAAGCTAGACTAACAGATAACCTTCTGTGATGTTTATTCTGTGAATGTATTCCAAATACACTGACCGGCCAGTTTATTAAGTTCACGCCCATGTATCTACATTCTTTGTCCATCGTATCAGCTCCATTAACCATATAGGTGCACCCTATGCATTAGTGTGTTATGTGGGTACGAGTGGATTTGTTTTTGTTGTTGGAGTTGTATAGGAGTTGTTTTTCAGGTTTTTCAGTCATGTTTTAGGACTGTAATGGAATGAGTACAAAAATCATCTTCCCCTAAAACTGGCTCTGAATCTCATTACATACAGAAGGTGATCATGAATTTGGCCTGACTTGTGAATACATTATTGAAGCAGACATCAGACTGATTGCAATGGACAGTTTCAATGATATTTTTTGGTGAAAGGAATTTAACTTTTCTTCATGAACTGTAAGTAGTTGGAATGTTGTTGGACCATTGTGATAATTCTGTACTTTCTATCTGATGTGTTGTTATTGAAATCAGTTTTTAAAAAAATCTCTTTGGATGTCCTAAGGTTGTGTAGAGTGGGAGAGTTCTCTGTTAGTACTGACATTATAATACAAAGATATTCATTTGTACACACCTTTGAGCATTTTGAGCTGTTTTGTCAGGTCTCGGTGGACCTAAACATCAGTGTGACACTTGTTGCCAAACTGATTTCATATGACTCATTACTTGAGACAGTGAGACAGCTAGTAGTGGCTAAACCTGCCTGTTTGTGATTTATGGTTGTAGGGAAATGGAGCAAGAGGAATTTGGGCCAAGGACTTTTATTGGTTTAGCAGTGGTGTTCCTGGCTGGACGTGGAATGGTATCCCAGCTCTCAGCCTATTGATTTCTGCTAACTTTCTGAGAACTAATAAATAAACATCTGTAATATTTTATTTTATAAAATCGTCATGCTTGTTGTATTTAAATTGTGCAAATATTACTACTAATACTCTTATTTCGTTGTTAAATTCTGATTTTGAACAAGAGTTAAAATCTTGAAATGCACAATGAAAAATTGTCCAATCAGGATTTGTCCCCTGTGGTATCTTGGTAGATACAGCCAAGCTAGTCCTCTCATTGGTTAGGTTTTGATTTATAATGGGTGGGACCAATTTTGTGAGAAAACACATCAAAACATCACAAACATCCTAAATGCATCATTGACGAAGTAGTCAGTTTTAGTCATTTATTTGAAATGGAAAACGGTGGCAGTAACTCAGTGTGATGGCTCTTTACTGAAATAAACAAAAAAACATGTTACAAGCTTCAAATAAAATTTTTGGTATGTGGTATCTTTTTCAAGCTTCAAAATGAACATGTTTAATCTAAAACAGCCAAAAAATTTTAATGTGCAGCAATTTCAATCATGCTATCATCAACATTATTAACACCCACACACACGCACACACAGGCCCTTGCGCAAGGAATCCTTATGAAATTGATCAAAACCTTTGTCAAATTATTCAAATACATCATGTACATGAATTCATATACGGTACTTTGTACAGATAATTATAGCAAGTTACACATTACACAAATGAAGTTAAATTCATAAGTAATGTAATGATCTTGTGTGACATTTGACTTTGGAATTACAGCTTTACAGTTCAAGAGGGAGAAAAGTAGCAAGTAATAAAACATGTCTCCATCTCTCAATGTAGAATAGATAATATCCACATTTACCAAGAAGTCCAGTACAGTTTGAGCTTTGGTTGTGTTACATCACAATGGACAGGAATATAAATGACACATCAGTTGCATTTTATTGTTCCAAAGTAAGTGCTTACTGATCTGAACTGCAAGAAGCCTTGTGCTCTTTTAACAGATAGAAATCATACTATCACACAAAAAAATTCTTCACTGATACATTTTACTAGCTTTTACGGGGGAAGGTTCTCAAAGTTAAACTAATCCCATATATAATAACATGAAAAAATGCCTGCAGATGTGGTCATTAGATTCTTTGAAAAGAGGTCCCCAAATCATTTTAAAGCATTTTAAAACACCAGTTACAAAAGCAACCAATATGTAATGCGTTCTATAAGTAGAACATTAAAAAGGCATCTTACAACAAACCACACATATTACACTAGATTGTCATTTACATGACTTTGGCATTTACGTAATGTATTATAAGTCTTTCAAGCTGAAAATGCTAAATGAATTGTGCATATTTAACATCTTGATTACTAAAAACAAAATACTTCAAGAATTTATACTTTAATTTGTAAATAAAACTATGAAAAAATATATATATAAGCATATACATTTAAACGTGTGTGTGTATATATACACACACACACACACACACACATATATATATATATATATATATATATATATATATATATATATATATATATATACAATGAATATGAGAAAAAAAAACATCTTGGATCATTGTTGTATATTTAGAGACATTTATTTTTCAACATTACTAACATCCCCCCCAACACACACACACACACACACACACACACACACACACACACACACAGGCCCTTGTGCAAGGAATCAAAACCTTTGTCAATTTATTCAAATATATCATGTACATGAATTCATATACGGTACTTTGTAAAGACAATTATAGCAAATTACACAAAGTTAAATTCATAAGTAATGTAATGATCTTGTGTGACATTTGACTTTGGAAGTTCTAATTACAGCTTTACAGTTCAAGAGGGAGAAAAGTAGCAAGTAATAGTAGGAAAGGCATTCATATAATAATTAAGGCTATGAGAAATTGCATATCTTAGTCTCTGTAGATAATTGACTTACTTTGGAATATTTAAATGGCCTTAAAAATAGTTCTGCAGCCAGCTCTGGGCAACTGATGGCCAGTGTTTTAACTTGTCTCGTAGAGATTGTCCAGCAAATCTTGAATAATCATCACAAGATCCTGGAAAGTTGGTCGTTCATCTGCTTTCTATAATTAGAGAGAAAATAGAGCCTTTTGTTACTCCCAACCGGCTTCATTTTTACACGTCAAGAAAATTTAACAACAGAATATGTCCATCATGTCAGGACGGCAGAATAATTTGTACCTCATGCCAACAGCCAGTCATTACGGAGTAGATTCTGTCATTGGCCATCTGAGGACGATACAGCCTATACCCAGCAGCAACCTTATCCACTATCTCTGTGTTATTCATACGTTCATATGGCATTCTGCCGAGTGTATAGATTTCCCACATCAAAACACCTGTGAAAATAGTCTTATTATAAACTAATTCCACACAATTGTTGATATAATTCTGAAATTTTGAAACTTGTTAAAGGTATGCTGTAGGTTTGACAGATACTAACCAAATGCCCAGATATCTGACTTGCTGCTAAACTTGCAGTAAAGCAGTACTTCAGGAGGTGACCAGCGTACAGGGAACTTTGAGCCAGCAGAGCTCATATACTCATCATCAAGGACATACCTGTAATAAGAGAAAATGCACTCTATCAGGGCTGTGGATATAAGTTAATAACCAGTAAGTCCAAGCAATGGTTAAAGCTAAAGTGCCATTTTTAATTAAAAGTTTAGAAGTAACCCTCTGAGTCTTCTCACCTTGACAAGCCAAAATCAGTCACTTTAACAGTCCCATTTGAATCTACTAAGCAATTCCTGGCAGCCTATAAAACAACAGAGTTCCCATCATACAAATTCACAGTTATCTGCCATATTTTAAATTGCTGTCTTTTGTGTAGTAGAACGCACAAGGTCTCTGTGGATGTATTGCTGGGATTCCAGGTAGGCCATTCCTTCACTGACATCTTTACACATCTCAAGAAGCTGAACAGCAGAAGGGTGTTGCAGGTCCTCCCGTAGATAGGTCAGTAGACATCCATTGGGTAGGAACTCTGTGACTATGTAAATAGGTCTTTGTTTTGTGCAAACACCATAAAGCTGAACTAGGTTTTCATGTCGAAGTTTCCTAATTAGAACAAATGGAATTCTTCAAAAACATATCATGACATTGTGCTATACAATATACTAATACAGTTTTAAATCTGAGTGACAATTCACTAAATTAGGACTCACATCATAACTTTAGCCTCTTCAATGAAATCATCTTCTGACATAGAACCCTCTTTGATCATTTTGATGGCTACATCATGCCGACCTTGCCACTTTCCATACTTGACAACCCCAAACTGTCCATTACCCAGCTCTTTGATAAAGGTGAGCTGGCGAGGATCAATCTCCCAGACACCTAAAGTAGGTAAAAGTTTAAATGAAATAAAATTTAAATATGAAATGTTATCATCAATATGCTGTCTCTTGATGTACCATTTATAACACTTGATCTGTGAACATTAAACAGAGCCCTTGATGCTTATGCCAGACGTAAAAATACAAACTTACCATAACCCAAACCAGCAGTGGATGGAGCATTCTGAGTTCGATTTGACACAACATATTTTAGTCTGCTCACCAGTCCTAAGGCCATAAAAGAGTAATTGTAATTGTAAAATAATAATTTAAAACATTAGCCTTTGTAAATAGCAGAGGCAAATGTTTTACCTGCAGCATTGTGCTGATGGTAATTGATGAGTTCTGGAATGTTGCTAAAATAGTGCTTCTCTGCCAAGTAGAACAGGCCTTGTTGGGTGGTTAATATGTTGTAATGTCGACAGCTACCAACATTTTCTCTGAAGAGAGACCAGAAATTTCTTCTGAGGTCATGTTCTTTTATTTAAACTTGATTACCTTCCAACATCATGTAGACTGCAAGAAGATGCAACAGTAATGTTCTTGTAGTACCCCTAGAACAGGTCACTGGTGTTGCTGCTGTCTGAATTCTATCTTCTTTTTGTTTCTTCCTCTCTTCTATTAATGTAATATATTGTGTATATCAAACTCACCCACCACCCTTTGTGAAAACAGAGACAGTGTATTTTCCAGTGTATCTTCCAGAGTCTCGCACCAGAAAGCCTCCATCTTTATTCTGAATTTAAAATCATTTTAAATGGTTTGTATGCAACAGTTAGATAAGTATGAGTTTTGAAATGTGGAAAGTTTTAAACATAGCAGTCACTTTTTTATGACAGGCCTTATACGCACCTCTGTCTTAAGTAGATTTTCTGCTTGACTACGGTTCATGTTCTTGCAATACCATCTACAATGAGAGAAAATATGTTCAGTTGTGGTACTGGATAACATTCATCAAAAGATCTAGAGCACCATTCAGAATTATTAGAATCCTTGGTTAAGGTGAGCAAAAAAAGCCTATGGAAAACTGTTTGTGGTTATCCATTCTACTTTCCACATGGAGCACTGTGACTGCCTCTTTCATTTTATTTATTTTTTACTCACTTACTGAAACCAGCAGAGAAACTCTGTCAAAGGTATGGATTGTACACTTTCAGTCAATAGTACATTTGTGTCTGTACTTAGAGGAAATAATGTGTCTTATGATTTGACTTTGATCAATTATTTATAGGAGTACAGTCTTAGTTAGAAAACATCCATTGCGTTTTTCCAATTTTTGTCATTGTTGACAAGGAAACAGAATTAAAATGATACAGATCTAAAGTAAATGTAAAGGTTTATTATGAAACAGTAATTTTTTATGTAATTACATCATTACATTTAAATAGTGTAACAAAACAATTATAATAACTCTGGCATATAAAAAGTTAATAAATAAACCACATGTCCATTCTTTTCAGAAAAGCATATCTTTTTCTAGAGAATACTAGAATGAAATAAGCTCATTTGTTTCTACATTAATAAAATGTACTCTAATTTAGTGTTGTGCGCTCTGATAGCACTGATTTCAATTCAGGGAAAGTAAACTGTTGTTGCCATGTAATAATATGACAATATGTATTTGTTAGAAAGGATTTTTTTTTTAAATTTCAGGCAGTTTGAGAATATGCAGTGGATATACAAAGTAACATTTGGGCTAGCTAAAAACATTTATAAGCTTTGCTCTAAATGTGACCAAGAACTACCTGCAATGACAGGAGGTGTTTGTTTTTTATTTACATTCATTTATGTTGCAAAAACATGTTCATTAAACATTTATAATTAAGTTGGCTTGAAAAAGCCAACTTACTGTTCTTCATAATCTTCTTCTTATTATTATGATAAGGCAAGGCGCAACTATATTGTTATCCGATTTATATTTATTTATGTATATTTTTTATATTTATATCATTCTCTTTTATTCTTATTTTTCTGCCAATTCTTTGCCATGTAACTCATCCCGCAGTTTTCGAGATATCGACACCGTTCCAACTCCAGATTGTCC